CCATATTTGTTGATTTTAAAAATGCTTTGACTTTACATTTGCGGGGACAAGATAGACAAGAAAACTACTAAAACGATTCATTTAACCTCATAGTTTTAAAGTAAAACAATTCAAAGAAATATTTCAATAATTCCTTAGTATAACGACAAAAAATACTGGAATTGGAACCGACATTACTTTTCTTGTTACATCAATACATTCCTTCGTACAATATTGTTTTTATTCTTGACAATTCACGAGCTCGTTGAATATTCAACAAAAGAATTTGCTTGAACAAATTAATGTCTGCCACCCCCGCAAATTGAAGACGCGATTTATCACTGGTATGTAGTATTAAATCTTGTCAAATTAAAACCTGTTACTACCACGATATTTATCGAATTAGTCTTTGTTTACCAAAAAACAGGCACATCAATTTGGTCTTAAAATTTAGTAAGTTTAGGCCTATATTACTTAAATTCTAGCAAAGTTTTGGAGCAGTCTCACACAAGTATGTAGGTACTATTTGATGACTTTCTGTACTTATAGTATAGAACACTCCTAAAACATGTGATTTTGTGTCGTCTAGTTAAAAAAAATAAACATTGCCCCACACTAGAATTTTCTCTTGTGTCGTGGGTCTGTTTACAAACATACAAGTTCACATACACATGACACCCAGACCCGGAACAACAATATGTAGATCACACAAAGAATTACTCCATGTGGGAATCGAACCCGCGACACGTTGCGCGGCAGCCAGTTGCCCAGCCACCAAATATATGAGTTAACAAACGTGTCAGCATATGCATTCAAATTAGGAGTAATTTTTTTCATGTGCTCGGCTCTCAGCTCCTAAGCCACTCCTAAAACACGATAAATTTTCGACCAGTTAAGAACACTCCGGTTCAAACTAGTTAAGAGTCTTCGAAAAAGGGAATCTTTTCCAACACAGAACGAACTACAAAGTGCATGCACTATCTACTCAAAATTCACGAACTTTTGTGCTAAACGGTAGCAAATATCGTTTGAATTCCAATAGGCTTTTATGTTACCTGTGTGCACAGATTCGGACGATTAGATTCTTGTATTGATTGTATCGTGCGGAACTGCGTTTCGAATGTACCATAGATATCTACTATTCAACAGTGGCCTAGTAAATAGGAACCTGTATTTGTGATTTATGAGTTTCATCGCGGACTGTTTCTAATATGTGTCATTTGAATGGAACATTATAATATTATGCTTATATTGCTTTAGGTACCTGTTCTGTATGTTACTCGAGTTTAAAAGCGCGAATTTCGTGTTCAATTTCCGGATTGAGCTCAGTATTTTTACGTTTTTATACATACATACAACATTCTGAAAATATAAGGCATGCACTGGAAATTTGTCCAGTGTAAGGCAATAGGATTAAACACAGCTTAACGTAGTACAACAGCCAAAAGTAGATGTACTATATTACCTACTATATAGTACATTTTTTAAGGGGAGAAAATCGTCGAATGACTGCTCCCACCTAGGTGAGGCGGGAGGGAGTGTCAGACTCTTACTGACTAAAAACCACCCTGTTCCTTCTCCTGCACGTCGAGCCGGAGCCCCGGTAACCCGTTAGGTTCTCCGCGACACTATATAGTACATAGATAATATAGACATGACCATATAGCCAGGTCTGCTATAATATCATTATTTTTAACTAGATTATGTTCAATTGATTATTTCTGACGTTTGGTTGTTTATGAATTGTCTGATTATCTTTTCTGTTTTATTTGACGTGTGCCATATTTTTGACATTTTATATTGTCAGTACAATTCTGTGTTTAGCTCTTAGCTTTTAGTTTAATTTACTTTTTGACATACCTACACCTTCCATGCAAGATTTAAGTTTAATGTATATTTTTATGATTTTTTGCATGTTGTGGCTTCTTCTAATAGAGGAAGCATATAGTTTTTATTTCTTTTATATTGTTACTCGTGTGTTCTAAGTGTATTCATTGGTGGAGACCCTAATTCAATAAATAAATAATATATACTCATTCTCATATACAAACTTTGCAGGATTAACCTCTTATTTTAAAGAGCTCATAAAAATAACTTACGAGAGTCAGGTTCTGTTTACATACATAAGCGACCTACATTCTGTCTCATAAACTTTATACAAGGTTGGAATGTATTAATATTACCAACCCTTGACCTCCACATTCTACGTAGATTATATTTATTGTACAGTCAACCGTAAAGACAGGCAAACAACGGTAACCGTAAAGATAGACTGTAAACTTAAGCGAATGAGAACACAATATCTGCATAAAATCACGTAGGTACTAACTATACATATTTGTAAGGCTGAACCTATGGTTAGTAATATGCTTTTAACTGTAAATTACTAAGAATGACGCCAAATAAAAGTATCCTTAACCGACGAGCATGCATGAAAAGAATGATGACCGTTGAAGAAGGGAAAGAGGTATGTAAGAATCGTAGCAACTGGCGTTCCACAGTCTTTGCCTACCTCCATGGGATTATGACATGAGATCCATAGGCGTGTGGTTATGTACCTCTATATATGTTACTAAGCCTGTAATACTCTTAGTGCGACTTATGAGCTTGGTGCGAAGTAGAGAAAATTAATAAACTGTATTAAAGTTCACACTGTACTCGTATTTTAAAAGGTTTTTGTTTTGAGGGGTGAAAATCATCCAGTAACTTGTCTCGCCCGGCTGAGGCGAGAGGCGGTGTCGGGCTCTTACTTACTAAAACCACCCTGTACCAAATCCTCCACTTCGAGCAGGCAACCGGTCAAGTCCTCCACGGAACCAATTTTAAAAGGCTAAGACCCTATTTACCAACACTGGACCGTGCACAATTCCAGACTTCCTGATATAGTTGAGTGTTTTATATCGAAAAATACATAAATTTTGTTCAATTGAATCGAGTCGTTTTTAGTCGAGTAACGAGTACTTAGTAGCTCCCTCTCCATCGACTAAATACTAGCGTAGTGCGAACTGGGCATCAATGTTTCAACGTAACACTTATCACCACTTAACTTACGAGGCACCTAGCAACGTGCAAATGATGTACTTTCAAATGTCTATGAGACACACGCTAACAAGTTAACAACAAATCCACGTTACCTTAGCCACATAAAAAGAATAAAACCTCACTAAACCTAACGCTGTCATCAGTGATGTGACCCTAGAGATTCCTAGTCCAGTAAAGGCGTCTGCAAACTTCTTGTTTATAAACTAAATGTTCTAAGTCGTCTGCATTAAAATAAACAAAAAGGGTACAAATGTGATATATTTTCTTTTTGGTTCATGTCTTGTTGGTAGGGCTGAAGAAAGTCCTAGTGTAGAGAAATGTTTAAAACAATAAAATAATAATAAAGATTTTTTTTCTCGATAGACGACCTTCTAGAATACATCTTTTACTGCACAATTGGCGCGGTGCGGTGGCTAGGTAACTGGCTGTTGTGCAAAGTGTAAAGGGGTCGATTCCCGCACGAAGCAAATCTTAGTGTGATCCACAAATTGTTGTTTCGACACTGTAAAATTGTATGTTTGTAAACGCACCTAAGACACAGAAGAAAATCCTAGTGGGGCAATGTTTTAAACAAAACAAAAATTCAAATGTGTTAAATATTTTTCATTAAAATAATAATAAAATGATGACGTAGCATTCGGGCTATACAAAAAACTACAGACATTTTAATTAAACTGGACATGTAAGGCTTACGCAGGAACATGGGTCCAATACGCAGCGAATAAATAAAGGTTTTTCATTAAAGAGACGCCGCTCGGTGCAGAAACATTTTGCTTGTGCTAAAATGAAATTTAAACGTTTAATATTCACATAAGTGTGTGGAAACTAATATATATATTTAATCCACTTAATAGGTGTTGTAGGGTTGCTGATTGTAAAATTAAAGCACCGGTCTGCTTTAATTTTATAACCCTTTTTTACCCTTTTAAAATTACATTATCCTTCTTGATTATTTATTTATTGGCAACTTCATAGTTACATCAATCAATACATAGTATAAAACAAAGTCGCTTTCGCTGTATGTCCGTATGTATGCTTAGATCTTTAAAACTACGCAACGGATTTTGATGCGGTTTTTTTTACTAGATAGAGTGATTCTTAAGGAAGGTTTGTATGTATATACATATTGCACCCGTGCGAAGCCGGGGCGGGTCGCTAGTTTACTATAAACTAATCAATATAGTTGAACCCTAAGTGGAGCGATGAAAGAGACTGCGTGACTATCGTCTTTCTGGCAGCTGGCTAATTCCAGAAGACCGCTACGTTATCGAACTAGACTTAGTCCTACTTAGGTTCAGAGAAGGCTGCTAGGCTACCGAACTCTGATCCTCTAGCTAGTAGAATGATGATTTGTTCGAAGACAACTCTGCTTATAAAGGCTAAAAGGCGGATGTTTATAAAAGTTGTTTGTAGTTGTGATTGTTTTGGATAAATTATACTAGATGGCGCTATGTGCTCTTTACAGTGTTTATTTAAAATTATCTAATAAGCAATTCGACCCAATTTCCCCTAACCTAAACATGACATCAGACTGTTTATGAAAACTTTATAGTGCAGAACGATCCACAAAGTGGACCGGCGACATAAGAAAGGTAGTGTAGTGTTGTTTACCTAATATGAACCTTAACTACTAACTACTACTTAAAAAGCACTATTTACACTTATTTGCTAATGTCGTGGTGGCTCGGAGGTTTAAGACTTCTCATGCATGAGGCTGGGGGTTCGAAACCTATCAACAGCAAGTACCAATGTGACTTTTTCCGAGTTATATGTACTTTATATAATTACCTAGACACCACTGACAAACGGTGAAGAAAAACATCATGAGCAAACCTGGGCTTATAATTTCTAATTATAAGTTTGGAATCCGCAATGAGCAAGTGTGGTGATTAATGCTCAAACCTTCTCTATGTGAAGAAGCTTTGCTTAGCAGTGGGCATTATAATCTGTTGATGATGATGATGATGATTTGAACTTACTTGGCGGATAATCCCTGTAGCTGATCTCACTGTAGACAGCAAAGGGTGACGCGCAAACTATGGATATAATCCATAGCACCAGAATGATCCTTGAAGCTCTGGTCAGACCAGCCATGGTGTAAAGATGGAGAGGGTGACATATAGCCAGGTATCTCTCCAACGAAAACGCAGATATTGTCAGCACTGACACGTATGTTGCTCTGGAACAAAAAGAAACTAAAATTAGATATGCATAAGACAGTGACTGTTGTAACACAACTTAGGGTTTTCATAGCTCAGAAGTCAAGGTGTTTAATAGCATTATACCATTGAAGATTTTTTTATAACGTAGGCAGCAATGCAATGCGTCACTGCTCGTCTAATATGTACTTTCCTATGGCAAGCTATAAACAGTTAAAAATAATAGATTAATATTAATTATTGACTTAGGAGGATATGTTACCTTCTGTTTAGTTTTACACAGAATGACTCTACCTAAATATAAACACATAACATCACGCCTTTTATCCCCTAAGGGGTAGACAGAGATGCATATTATAACACTTAATGCCACTGTACAATGTAACTAATACTTTTCACTATTTATGTTATAAGTCCCATGTAATAGGGGGTGAGCCTATTGCCATATACCACCCGGTATTTGGCAATAATAAATACAATTCCAGACTCTATGCTACTGCTGATTTTTTTTATAAAAACCCAGTAATACTTTACCCGACCTAGGAATCGAACCCGAGACCCCTTGTCCAGAAGTCGCACTTGCGACCACTCGACCACCGAGGCAATTTTAATATCTCATAGGTGAAATCTTGTTGGCAAAGTTTATTAGTTCACACACAGACACCTCTTTTACTCGTGTTTTTGGTACAGTATAAATAATTTGACAACAAAATGTTGAGGTGATTTCAGCTGTATTTTAAAAAACCTGTAATTATACTCGGGTTTGTTAGCAATACAAACAAACAAACAAACAAACAAATATATTTATTTCCATTTTGTTCACATATATGTACTTAATCAAAGCTTATTATTTAACTATTCTAGGTAGGTTACAATACAATGCCTGTATAGAATTAAATCTGTACCACAGGCTTTGTGGTCGCGTGCATTATACATTAGGATAATATAACTAAGCCTTAACAATATTATTTTTACAGTCACCAAAAATTACAAAACCTACATATGTATACATAAGTTAGGAAACACTAACTTTATACTTGCATTTATTAAAATAATTATTATCTATTTATATCTATATATTATTTATTTCATGACAATCAACAAATCCTCGCTTTTTTCATAACTTAATGATAGTAGATACTGAGAAATGCGCTGTTTTGCTCTGGTGTAATTTACATTGTAAACCAAGGTTTCTTTATTAATTTTATTGTACAGATATGGCCCTAAAAATGCAAAAAATCTATGTGTAAATACGTACTTTGATTCATAGCTAGCAGTACAGACAATATCTTTCCGTCTCTTGGCGTTAGTGAGGTTAGCGTCATATGTAAGTGTAGTATGCTGTTTTAGTACAGTGGATAGTATGAATAATTGTCGCACTGTCAGCACTTTACTAGACTCATACAGTAAGCCTGTGGGGTAGCGGTACGGTCTGTGCGTGGCGACTTTCAAGATGGCTCTTTGCGCTCGTTCGATTGGAAGTATCAATGTTTTTCCACTTCCGCCCCAAGAAGTAATGCAGTATTGGATTATCGATTGACACAGGGCTTTATAAATTTGAATAATTAACTTGTGATCACCAATAAGCCGCAATTTTTTAAAAACAAATATCAATTTCCGAACTCTAGATGTTAATGCAGCGATATGTTGTTTAAAGGAAAGGGTTTCATCTAGAATAACTCCTAGATACTTAATGTTATCTGTTATTACAATTTCCGGACAGGTACAAGCGTTAGTCACGATTGAGCATTCTGATTTATGCGCATACAAGTGAAATTCATTACGTGCTAGAGGTTTACGCATATTAAATTTTATAAATTTTGTCTTATCAGTATTTATTGTTAGTAGATTTATTTTAAGCCAATTATTTACGACATCAAACCCTTGCTGTGCACAGCTTTGAACTTCTGTAAGAGAACCTGCTGAAAACAGCAGAGCAGTGTCATCCGCATATGATACAATAGTGCCACACTGTAGTTTGAGGTTACATAGGTCATTTATGTATACCAGAAATAGGGTTCCTCCGAGTACGCTCCCTTGTGGAATTCCATATAGCGGTAGCAGTAATTCGGAACTAATGACGTTGCCTATTTTTACACATTGCCGTCTATCCCGCAAGTAGTCTCTAAAAAGTTCCAACTGTGTCCCTCTTATTCCCAACCCCTCCAGTTTGTCTAGTAGCAATGGGATAGATACCGTATCAAAAGCAATACATTAACCCTGTGTAATTATAATCTCTTTTAGTCACCAACAAGCTAAAAAAAACCAACAAAATCTAATTCAAGTTAAATTACGTTTTTTTTATCATCATCAACAGCCTCTTCTCACATGGAGTAGGTTTGAGCATTAATCACCACGCTTGCTCAATGCGGGTTGGCGATTTCAAACTTATAGTTAGAAATTATAATCCCAGGTTTCCTCACTATGTTTTCCTTCATTATTAGTCAGTGGTGTCTAGATAATCATAGAAAGTACATATAACTCGGAAAAAGTCACATTGGTACTTGCCGTTAATAGGTTTCGAACCCGGACCCGCATACATGAGAGGTGAGCGCCTAAACGTCCAAGCCACCGCGGACCGTGACTATACTGTTTTTTATAGTCGTTGTATTTTATTGCTAACTCTAACTTCAGCTAGCGACTTCACCTACATTCCTAGATATAAAAGTAGCCTATGTGTTGTTCCAGATTATAGAGGTAACCTATCCCTGTTCCACATTTCATCCCGATCCTTTCAACCGTTTTGACGTGAAGGATTAAGTAACATACATACAGACTTTTCACCATTTATTCCCAATTTTCACTATTTATGTTATGAGTCCAATGTAATAGGGGGTGAGCCTATTGCCATAAACCGGGCACAATTCCAGACTCTTTAGAAATTAACTCTATTGAAATTTAATGTTGACTGACACCAATTTAATTAGTAAAAGCCCAAAAGAAATAAAATAAAATGAGTGATGTTTCATGTGTCTTCTTGTCAAATAATAGATACTAACCTTTATACTTCTTTAGCCAACACCTCGTAAGATCTCAAGATCAAAAACAAAGTGAAAACGTTTTGTCTAGAATATATTTTTATTAAAAATGATATTTGAAGAAAGACGCAATACTTGGAAGTAGCACAATAGAACTGTCCGTTTATATAAAGACAAATCTTAGGGTTCCTTCAGCTAGAAGTTGGGAACGAAACTCGTAAACAACTAGATATTATTTTAAATCTTTATATATCACGATTATTGTTTCATCATCATCATCATCATCAACAGCCTATAAATGCCCACTGCTAAGAAAAGCCTCTTCTCACACGGAGAAGGTTTAAGCATTAATCGCCACGCTTGCTCAATGCGGGTTGGCGGTTTCAAACTTATAATTAGAAATTATAAGCCTAGGTTTCCTCACGATGTTTTCCTTCACCGTTTGCCAGTGGTGTCTAGATAATCTTAGAAGGTACATGCCGTTGGTAGGTTTCGAACCCGCACCCCCCCATGCATGAGAAGCTTAAACCTCCGGGCCACCACGACATATTATTATTTATTCCCTCAAAATGCTAGCTAAAGGTATGGAGCATCTATTTAATGGTACTTCCAATTCCGAACGATCGACATTGACATTATAAATTTTCATACTCTTTGAGATACAACACTGGCGCTCATTGCATCCGTATGGCGTGAATATTTAATAAATTAAATGGTATTGAGTTTGGCTTTATATTCCGTACTCTGAATGCTATTTCAACAGCTACGATAAAGGTTGTATAGTTTTGACATTGGATAATTAGCTAGTTTCCTAGGTTTAAAATAAATCGTTTCAACTTTTTTATGCAATAAATAATAAAAAAATAATCATACTCTCATCCATTGATTTGACAATTTGCCTACTTTTGGATTTTTTCTCGCTAATTTTAAGGAAATAAGTATGCTATTTGACGCAGAAATATGATGACGTCATAAGTAGCGATCCAATACAAAAAGCATAGAAAACTATCGTTTTTGACATTTCAATAAAAGTATTGAATTTGACTACCTGTCAACTATCGTATTATTGAGATTTTATTGGATTGAAATTGCAATGACATTGAGATTGGTTTCAAGAGTTAGTACCCTGAAATGTATGTGTCTGTAGCGACAAATTAATGTTAAATGACAGTATGACAGCTCACGCAGATAGATTCATCGATGAAAACAAATCAACGGATGACGTCACAAAATCCTACATCGCACATGTGAAGTTTACATGCGAATTAACACGGATATAAAATCCCAACACGTAACTGTTGGGCAGAAAGCCCGCCAGGCACGAACACCTCGCCTGGTCAGACGATCCTCCCTTTCCGAACTTAGGGAACTTTACTGTTCCCTAAAATTCCCTATTTATTAGTCCTGTTAAGTATGGGAGAGCCATGCTTCCGACGCGAAGAAACGCTTGCGTTGTATTTCGTCGTGTGAGTGAGGTTACCGGAGGCCCAATTACCCTCCCCTTCCCCAATCTCCCCAATCCCTGAATCCCCAATGATCCTCAAACTCCTAATCCCCAAAAGGCCGGTAACGCAATTGTAACGCCTCTGGTGTTCCGGGTGTCCATGGGCGACGCCGATTGCTTACCATCAGGTGATCCGTCTGCTCGTTTACCGGCTTATGCCATAAGAAAAAAATATACATATAAAAGAAGAATTTTTGTATTTGACTTATTCATAAAAAGAAATACAAATCTCATCTTTGTATAAAAGATACACAACATTATTATAATGTAAGATGTTCCTATAAACTGTCACTCTCAGAGTACGGAACGCCAGCACCTATACAAGTCGAAAACACACTTCCACGTATTTTTCTTTTTTCTTTGTCCATACGTGTCGGTCGTTTAGCTGTCCAAATCACTTGCGGACCACATTAGGTCGGGACTCACATACTCGTAAATGCTTTGGGCGGACACAGTGATAAATGATGAAAAATCTTTTAGATTTCTTTGTAGAAATAACAAGGGACTCAGATTTAGTTTTCAACCAATACGTGTCTTT